TCTCTTCCCCTCATGCTTCAGCCTGGGGAGGAGTTCTGTCTGTAGTCTGACCTTTTAGGCATGTAGCCTGTATGGGGCCCAACATGTAAATTGTGCTGAAAACAAGATTAGGGTTAGCAATCCTCAGAAGCTTTTCTGCCCAGTTTCGGAAGAAGCTGGACCAAAATTAAGAACCAGGGGGAGGATCATGCTGGAGTAAGCAGTTGCAAAGAATCTGGATCCTCACAGGAATGTGACAGCTCTTTTGGGAAGATGCACAGATAGCTGGGAGGATGCATAGAGGCATTGGAGGATGCATAGAGATGTCTGCTAGTCAGCTGGTGTGTGCTATTTGCAGTGCTGCCAGTGACTGTGTGAGGGCCCTTTACACTGTACATGTTGGAAGTGGGTCTGGAGTCTGTAAGTGCTTTTGTGGGAATTTGTGGCCCTTATTCTCTCCCTATATGGTGTTTGTTTTTTGTTTACCTTCTCTTTTAGTGTTTTAGAAAAAAATCTCAACAAAAAGACATTAATGTGACTGACATCCCATGTTTCTCAATGCCCCCATACTAAACATAAACTCATCCCTGGTGTAACTGTTAGACCACCCTGCCACATGCCTTGGGGGGTCTGAGCAGGTATAGGGTGGTGCTACACAACTAAAATTAAATCTGACCAAACCAATTGTAGCTTACTTTTAGTTGTATATACTATAGATAAGTAACATGCAAATATGTTCTAAACTATGTCATCAGAGGACGTCTAACTATAAGGATATGACACTGGTTGCAAACACCCTACAATGACTATGTTAGCTTTGGTCCAGGTCCTGCTGTCATCACACATCAGCAAGCACCAAGCCATTGAGGTGAATACTTGGCATGCAGCATTCAGATCAGTAAAGTGCAACACAATGACTTTACTGAGCTCTTCAGCTTGGCACACTATTTCCTATCTGATACTGAAAATACTTGTTTCTCTTGCTCTTTTATCATCAGTCTGAACTTAATACAAAGCAGCTTATGTAAAAGAGTAGTAAAATAAGCATTCACAGGTAGCTGCTGCCTGTATTCATGAGTTTGGGAAACTCCTATAGAGAAGAAATGACATGGATAGTAGAAATGTAAGGCAGAGCAGAAATGTGGGCACAATGAATACATGCAGATGAACAATTATAGTACCAGGGGAGACAGACAGGATAATGGGGTTGATTTACTGAAACTGGAGAGTGCAAAATCCGGTGCTGCTCTGCACAGAAACCAATCAGCTTCCAGGTTTTATTGCCAAAGCTTAATTGAACAAGTTGAAGTTAGAAGCTGATTGACTGCAGATTTTGCTCTCTCCAATTAAATCAACCCCGATGTGTTGCCAGCTCATGTTAAATTGCTCTCACCAAAGAGCAGGGACTATGGTGCCATCTAGTGCAGTATTTTCTGTTTTACAACAATAAACATTCAACCAGCACAGGAAATAGACGAATAACATTTTTTTGCCCCATTTGCACAAAACAAATGTATGTACACTTTCACTGGCCAAATTGCTATGCACTTTTTTTTATAAATACACTCCATGCTGTCAGTGCAACTTTGTTTAGGTGGGGCTTTCTATACTATTGCTCCTTGTTATTTCCACATACCTTTCAGCTATACAGTTGAAGTCTGTACTTTGTATGTATTGCTGATAAGGATGAGCTTCAAGTTCACCACTACCATGGGTTTGCACTGAATCCTGTATGTCCAAGGTTCGTGGACCTAGTGGGAGTTCTCCAGATTTCTTTCTAATTCTTTGTAATATTTTCACACCTATTTGTTTATTCAAAATTTCTTCTGATCTGCAGGGGAATCAGAACGTTGGAGATTACAGCAGCTCTCTTTAATATACAGTGGATTTAAACTCTAAGCTCCGCAAAGCATTCATATTGACAATGTTCTTTAGCTGTAATAGTGAAGGCATAGGGAGGGCTGCTAATAAACTGCATAGGGAGAGATTATTGTGGGGCTTGTAGGCACTGCCAGATCTGCTAATGTAGATGTAACATCTTACTAAATGTCTTGCAGGTAGCAAAATGCTGTATATTTTGGGGGGTGGTGGAGGGAAGGGTTTTTACTTTATTTCTTCCTTTATTACATCTTAATACTTATGAGGACCTGCCGTCTTTTTACAGACAGTGATCTTTCATTACCATTTCCCCCAGACAAGAAATGAGCACCCTTAGCAGTGTTCCCAGTGTAAAGTGGCTTTTTTGTGGTAGTTGCAGCCTGAGTGGATGTTCTATAATCCAGGTAACCTGAAAGCTTCTTCCTTCTAGGTTAGTGTTCATCCAAGAGAAGACATGGGCCAGCAATGTGATGCTGCAATCTAATTGGAAATTGAAATTACACTCGTGCCTACTGACAGGCTCTGATGAAGGGGTTATGCCCCTGTAAATGATTAGCCTTTATTGGTGCCACACACTGCTGGTTACTGTTTGGGGGGGAGTGTGATCGTGGGGACTGTAACTCTGGAACATGTGTATGACTGTATGGTCCAGTTTTAGTGATGAATAGTTACATTCACTGACCTTGTGAGTACCAATCTATTTTTTTGTGCTAATAAAAAAGCTTACCTCACATGGACAAGGTGCTTTGTTCCTCTTTTTGTTTAGGCGCTATACACTTTAATGTCTTTTGATAAATGCTGCCTGTCCTCAGTGGAAGAGTCTTGGAATTTTTATGATAGTACAGTACAAACCACAAAGAGAAGGTTAGTCCCCATTAGTGCAGAAGACATTGTATTTCAACTTAACACTGAGCAGGCACCTCTACCACCTAAAATGTTGATGCTGGGACCCTGTTGTCAATTGCACATGTGCAGCAGTACAAATGCAGTGGGCCTGTTTTTCTTTTCCAGTGTTGGCTACAGAGTCCTGCAGCAATTTGGAATGGCCGTTGCACCTGTGCATTATGAGTAGGATTACACTGCTGGGGAAAAGAAGCATGAGAAGGGATCCTTTCTCCACTACTAATTCATCAGATGGGTAAATTACCAGATAAAACTATGCTATAGTGTTACTTTTTCCTAACCTCTGTTGTCCATACTTTACTTAGTCCTGCCCCTGCACTTCATGCATTAAGTACTCATGATCTCTGTCCTCTGTCTGTTATTTACTTCTGACTCCTTGTACAGACAATGTCATTAAGAACTATCTGCAGCGTAAAGAATAAGGAATCCTGGAAGTTATGGTTTAGCCCCAAAGAGTCCTGATCTCAACATTATCGAGTCTGTCTGGCATTACATGAAGAGACAGAAGGATTTGAGTCAGACTGCATCTACAGAACACCTGTGCTTAGTTCTCCAGGATGTTTGGTACAAGCTACCTGACGAGTTGTTTCAAAAACTGTGTGTAATGCAGGCCATAGATCGGCCGATTGTTCGGCCGAAAATAAAATCGGCCGATTTTCGGATCGTTAGTGGCTAAATGTTCGGCCGTTTTTCGGTATTTTGGCAGATTTTTTTTATCGGTAAAGTTGGAAAAAAATCAGCCGATTTTGCCGATCGGCCGATTTTCGCCGCAATGATGGGCAAATCGGCCGATCTTTTACCGATAAAAAAATCTGCACATGAGCAGTGACCTGCAAGAGGAAGACAAAAAAAGAAGAAAAAAGAAGAAGAGGATGAAGAAGAGGATGAAGAAGAGGATGAAGAAGAGGAAGAGAAGAAGAGGATGAAGAAGAGAGGATGAAGAAGAGGAAGAGAAGAAGAGGATGAAGAAGAGGATGAAGAAGAGGAAGAGAAGAAGAGGAAGAGAAGAAGAGGAAGAGAAGAAGAGGATGAAGAAGAGGATGAAGAAGAGGAAGAGAAGAAGAGGATGAAGAAGAGGAAGAGAAGAAGAGGATGGATGAAGAAGAGGATGAAGAAGAAGAGGATGAAGAAGAAGAGGATGAAGAAGAGGATGAAGGAGAAGAGGATGAAGAAGAAGAGGATGAAGAAGAGGATGAAGAAGAAGAAGAGGGATGAAGAAGAAGAAGAGGATGAAGAAGAAGAAGAGGATGAAGAAGAAGAAGAGGATGAAGAAGAGGATGAAGAAGAAAAAGAAGAGGATGAAGAAGAGGATGACAAAGAAGAGGATGAAAAAGAAGAAGATGATGATGAAGAAGAGGATGATGAAGAAGAAGAGGATGATGAAGAAGAGGATGAAGAAGAGGATGAAGAAAAAAAAAGAAGAAGAAGAGGAGGATGAAAAAGAAGAAGAAGAAGAGGATGAAGAAGAAGAGGATGAAAAAAGAAGAAGAAGAAGAAGAAGAGGATGAAGGAGCTGAAGAAGAGGATGAAGAAGAAGAGGATGAAGGAGCTGAAGAAGAGGATGAAGAAGAGGAAGAAGAAGAGGAAGAAGAAGAGGATGAAGAAGAAGAGGATGAAGAAGAAGAAGATGAAGAAGAAGAGGATGAAGAAGAGGAAGAAGAAGATGAAGAAGATGAAGAAGAGGATGAAGAAGAAGAGGATGAAGAAGAAGAAGAAAAGGAAGATGAAGAAGAGGAAGATGAAGAAGAGGATGATGAAGAAGAATAGGATGAAGAGGAAGAAGAGGAAGATGAAGAAGAGGATGAAGAAGAAGAAGAGGAAGAAGAAGAAGAGGATGAAGAAGAAGAGGAATTCCAGTGCTGCAAAAAGTGTCCCTGCAGAGAGCTCCGCTATTTCTTTGACAGTTCCTTGACATTTATAGCGGTTGCAACAATGTATCTATTTGTTTCTGAATAAAAACATCTGTATCCTAAATGGATACAAATAGATACAATGTTGCAACCGCTATAAATGTCAAGGAACTGTCAAAGAAATAGCGGCGCTCTCTGCAGGGACACTTTTTGCCGTCTTTTTGTAAATAAGTGATTTTGCTCCTGCACTGATATGCGCTAATGAGACTGCAGTGGTGGGCACCGATAGGCTGCACTGATGGACACTGATGGGTGGCACTGATGTGCACTAATGAGGAGGCACTGGTAGGTGGCACTGATGGGCATTGACAGGCATCACTGATGGGCACTTAAAGACATCACTGATACATGGCACTGATACATGGCACTGATAGGCAGCACTGATAGGTGGCACTGACTGGCACTGATGGGTGACACTGAAAGGCAGCTCAGATGGGCATTGATATGTGGCATTGATGTTGCACTGGTAGGCACTGATATGTGGCATTGATGTGGCACTGATGGGCACTGGCATGAGGCACTGATGAGCACTGGCACAAGGCACTGATGGACACTGACAGGTGGCGCTGCTGGGGCTACACTGATCATCAGGGCACACAGATCATCAGTGCCCTGATGATCAGTGTACATGTCCTCTCCGCGGAAAGCCGATTACCGGCTCTCCTCTCGAGCTGTCAGCGTGACAGCTCGAGAGTAGAGAAATGCCGATAACCGGCTTTTTCCTGTTTACATGTGATCAGCTGTGATTGGACACAGCTGATCACATGACCGAGCCGACATCTTCGGCTCTTTCCGTGATTGGTGATCCGCTGTGTCCGAGGGACACAGCGCACCGCAGATTGCCGCGCTGCGTGCTCCCTGAGCCGCGCATGAGCCTCCCAGAACGAGAGATCCACCTTGCGCCTGTCATTGGACTATATGGCGGGCGGGAGGTGGTTAAAGGCATTGTTGCAGCTGCTCGGCCATGGAAACCCATTCCATGAAGCTCTCTATGCACTGTTGTTGTGCTAATCTGAAGGCCACATAATGTTTGGAGGTCTTTAGCTACTGACTCTGCAGACAGTTTGCGACTTCTGTGCACTGTGCGCTTCTGCATGCTCTGACCCCACTATGTCATTTTACGTGGCCTACCACTTCATAGCTGAGTTGCTGTTGTTCCCAGTTGCTTCCACTTTGCTATAATACCACTAACAGTTGGCCATGGAATATTTAGTAGCAATGAAATTTCACAGATGGACTTATTGCACAGGTGGCAACCTATCACGGGACCACGCTTGAATTCACTGAGCTCCTGAGAGCGACCCATTCTTTCACAAATGTTTGTAGAAGCAGTCTGCATGCCTAGGTGCTTCATTATATACACCTGTGGCCATGGAGGTGATTGAAACACCTGAATCCAATGATTTGGAGGGGTGTCCGAATACTTTTTGGCAATATAGTGTGTGTATATATGTATATATATATATATATATATATATATATATTATAGTGTATAGGTGCCTGGGAGATAGAAGATTACACTGTAAAAACAGAAGAGAAACAGAGGGATTGCAGACATGTCTGGGAGGGGACAAAGGTTTGGTTTGGACAAAGAGGGGCTCTGACCTTCGGACTAGCAGATAGCATGAGTGTAACTTTTCTTTTGCAGCTCCAGATGGATCCTCTCAGACAGCACACTAGCTGCAAGACAGAAGCTCCAGCACATACTGTGCAAGCTCCAGTCTGTGATCCAGTCTGAACACCCAATAGTCTTTGGGGTCTTCACTTCTGATAGTGTCTACATCAGTGCACGACTCGATATATTAGAACTCATGAGATTCGTGAGCTTCCCATGAGTGCTGTCTGCAGCCATGTCTAGCTGCTATGGTTTAAAAAACCACCCTTCAGGAATCAGAGAATCAAAGGCACATTGGTCATCAGAGGCAATCCTGCCACCATCAGGAAATGTGACAAAGAGATTCTTACACATGAACCTCTTAAAAGTGCCACATTTTGAGCTCCTTCTGAGATGGTAGCAGTAGATCAACCATTTTACCTTGGAATCCATTAGGGTGGCCACTCAGTAGTGGCCCTTCACTTTAATGAACAAAATCCTGGTGTCTTTACAGATGCATTTTAGCATAAAATACCCAATTCACCACAAATTGCTTGCAGTAGAACACTGTGGCAAAGTAATGCATTTCTTTGTGTATGCAGTACCCACATGGCTCGTACTTTCACCATGGCTAATATGCTGCAGACAGTGGAGACAGTAGGTGGTAGAGGTGAAGAGGAGGAAGGGGAGGGAGGAGGAAGAAGAGGCAACATATCTATCTCTCTTGCAACTATATCTCCTTCCCCCTGCAACTATATCTCCAGTGCCCAGAAATAGATACACATTTTAAAAAAATATAACTGGCTGCTGAGTGAAGGCTGATGGCTGCTGCCATCTGGAACTGCACTGTCCAAGCACTGTACAATATTTGTGGATATTGTCTCTCAAATAATAAACTCTAATTGCAAGATAAAACTGGTCTAATCTCGTCTCGAACTGTGAAAAGAGTTTATGCAGGTTTGGTAGAGAAACAAAGGCATTGGTATATGTGAGGTTTAAAATTGTATTTAATTTTTAAGACATTGCAAAAAGACCCTCACTAACTATACTAATAAGCTATTGTGCGATTGACCAACTTATACAGATTTGAGGGCTTTAGCTTTATTTTATTTTTTTAAGATTAAACTGTGCTATTGCTTGTAGATCTGTTGTGTCTGCTCTTTCCACAGAGCATGTTAGGCCTTTTACTGCTTGATAAAAAAAAAAAAAAAACAGTTGTGACCAAAATTATTCAACCCCACTGAAATTGAGGTTTTGCCAGTTTGTGCTTTTGATCATTCAGTCATCTTGCTTACATTTACATTAAAAGGACTAAATTAGGTCAGACAAATAAACATAACAGTTATAATGAAATAACCACAAATGGTCTGTGCTCACAGCATTATCAGTATTTGACATTCCAATCTTAGTAATGTAAGAGTTTAACAAAAAATAGCTTACACAAGTGTCTTCGATCTACGGGTATTCGCCCATTCTTCATGGGCAAAGGCCTCCAGTTCAGTCACAGTTCTTGCTGCACTGCAACTGCTTTCTTTAAGTCCCACCAGAGGTTCTCCGGATTTAAGTCTGGTGACTGCGAACTCCAAAATTGTACTGCCTTTCCTTGCAACCATGCACTATACTTTATGCTTTCATTGTCCTGTTGAAAAACGTCTCCCAAGCCTCAGGTGTGTGACGGACTGCATCACGTTTCCATCCAATAACTGAAGAGAATTCATGGTACCTTGCACACGCTGAAGCTTCCCTGTACCTGCAGAAGCTCAGCCCCAAAGCATGATTGACCCTCCCATGCTTCACAGTAGGCAAGGTGTTCTTTTCATCATAGGCCTTGTTCTTCCTCCTCCAAACATAGCGTTGATCCATGGGCCCAAACAGTTCTAATTTTGTTTCATCAGTCCACAGAACACTATCCCACAACTTTTGTGGTTTTCCACATGGCTTTTGGCATACTGCAGTCGATCTTCCAGCTTACGCCTGGGAGTTCTGCACGGAGGCCTTCATTACGCAGTGTGCGTCTTATTGTCTGGGCTGAAACTTCTGTACCCACATCTGACAAATCTTTTCAAAAAAGCAGTCTAAACTTTCTAGTACGCTTCAGGTAGCGCAAGCAGTCGAAGTCAGCATCTTCTACGACCAGGTAGCGTTTCAATGTGCCCTTTGCCTTGAATTATGCTTCCTATGTCTCTTGGATGTTTAACATCTTTGCAATTTCTTATAATTGCCCTTCCTGTGAAGAGAAATCACCTCTTCTCTTGTCTTCCTGGACCATTCTCTTGCCTTCACCATGTTTGTAACCACACCAGTAAATGTCTAGAAACTCCCCCTGAGTATCACAGTTTTTTAAAGCTGCCTAATTATTATGCATTGCTGCTCGGTGACATCCACAGGTGTTTTCAATACCTGATGGAAAGCACCTGTATGAACCTCTGTTCTTCAGAGTGGTAGTCTTTAAGGGGTTGAAAATTGTGGCAATGAAGAAACCACATAAGAACCATTTACTACTGTATTACATAAACAATTGATGTCATTTTAGTTGCATTTGGGTATACAACGTCCTTGTAGGATTTGATTCTGAATACAATTCCAAATGTACACTATAGTCCCTAAACCCCTTTACAGCATTGGGGGTTGAATAATTTTACAACTGTAGGTATTGCAGTCAAAACTACTTTTTTAAGCCTAAATTAATCAGATTGTGGTGCTACTGTATTCATTCCAAGCTAAATGTAAGAGTTAAAAAATCAATTACACATTCAAATTATTCAGGATACAGTGTTGCTGACACTGTCCTTGAAAATTGTACTGTTTTTTAACACCACATATACTTTAGCTTAAAAGCATCTCCCAGACGTGTTTCACTCTCGAAGTCGCATAAAAAGAACTCACTTCCCACTGATCATTGTATTAAACTTTATTTATTACTTTGTTAAATGTTCCACATGGCAATGCCCAGCTTATGACCTTTTTGACAATAGCTTGCCTATTAGCTTTCAAAAAAGCCAGAATTTAGTACCAAGATTATCCCCTCTAGACTTCAATGGGATTCATGGATTTTAAACAGGATTCAATAAACTCCCCCACCCACACCACCACAACAACCATCATGCATCAGGGCACTTGGGCAGATTTGCTCATCCCTACTGATATGTATTGACTTGTGTGTATTGGGCCACAGAAGATTATGGTTCTATATAAGTCATTAATTTAAAAACATATGCATCTATACAGCAGTCATTATATCGCACAATCCATTCATGATATGAATTCTATATACATTGTCAAGCACACCTTAAGAACCAAACTTGACAATAGAAAGTTTCTGTATGACACACCACAGACTACTTTACATTTTACTCCAGGATTCTGTCTCAGTTGTACTCCAATCAGTAATAACAGTAGGCAGTGTTTCCCAACGCATTAGGACCTGTGCCACTTGCATTACTCTGCTGCACTGCATGTGTTGCATAACAAGATGCAAAGTTTATGTACAGACAGAACAGATATGTGAAAGAACAAATTTACTTTAGTAATGATACTAATGTATCATGTGAAACTAAAAAAGGTTTCTTCTACAGGCTTAAGTAGCCAATACTGGCTGTCCAGAACGGTTGAGAAAATAGTGTCACATAAGGCATAAGAAACTGGCCTTTCAGGGTCTTACAGGCCCCTTTCTCACTATGTTGCCTTGAGATAGGGACCCTGCGAGGCATAGAAACATCAGTTCCCTATGCCTTTTGTGATGCTGTCTTCACAATAAGCACATAAAATGCATTTATGTGGACTGCCTGTGACTTTGCATCTTTGCACCTAACCAACTTCCTTACCTACTGTCCATCCACTGAACAATATTTGTGCTATGGTCTCTCGAATAATACACTCTATTTAAAAATAAAACCTGCCTTGTCTCTCCCTCTTATATTGTGGCCTAACCAAGCTTCCTACATATTTTTCATGCCACTAAGCAGTTCTTGTTGTCTTCCAGATAATATGTTCTTTTTTCTTTTTTTTGCAAGATTGCAAAACCTGTTTTATCTGTTTCCTTTTGCTGCCTATTTAAGTGCTCAGCCGTAAAATCTAGTTTGCCTACCTAAAAATTCACATATTGATACATTTGCATACATTTATATACACATGGGCAGAGTTGTACAGTTATATGTAAGTAAATAAATAAGAA